AGGGGAAAGAACAGAATGTCCAACGCAAACAGTTCCCCAGAGACCACAAATACTGCCAGTTTTAGTGAGAAGTTACGGGAGTCAAAGATCTTTTCCGGACTCAAACACTGTTCTTTGGACATTCTGTTTTCAAAAATAAAGCTCACAGTGACATAAATATCCCAGACTGTGTTTTCGAGGGAGTGTGGTTAAGATGGTGTGGATGCTACGATACACTGGAATAAACCCTCATCCTGGACCATTCGTAGAAGGGGAGTGCCATCTCTTCGGCTCGCACGAGGTATCTGTCAGGCCCCGGGTCTCTGCACTGCCTATGTGAGCAAGCGAGGTTGCCTCTCCTCTCCCCTGCACATCTGCATAGGAGCACTGGGATTACTGTTCAGGCATCAGCTTCCTTCTCAAGCCTTTCTCAGCTTTGCTGAGTATCCCAAGGTTAGACCTGGGATCACAGTCCTTCAGGAATGCTTTCCCCCACCACAACAACAGGGTTTCAGTTCCCTCAGCTCCAGGGTTGGAAAAAAGATGTCCCCCTGGAAGGGTTCCAGCAGACAACAGGGGCTCAAGGAACAGATGAGTTAAATACATTCATAAATGAATTCTAAAAGGTGGCAGATGTGGGCTGATGAACTAAATCTGTCCGTAACTAAGATCTAGTCTGGAGTCGCGTATTTGTTCATTTCTTTCTGTATTTGTTTGCTCACACTTGTATGGAACATGTATGTATGTATGTATGTATGTATGTATGTATGTATGTGTGTACGTATTCTTGTAAAGGGCTAACAAACTGAGTTTGTTCCCTAGGACCCACATGGTGGAAAGGAAGAACGAACCTTCAAAAGTTGACCTCTGATCTCCACACTAACACTGTGGTAAACACACACACAGTGGGGAGATAGAATTAAAACAATAATCTATCCAATTATAAAATCACTAGAGATTTTCCTATCAAGAAAATGAAACTGTCACCTTCCTACCAGCCATCAATCCCCAGGATGGTTATGGTCCCCCTTGGATGAAGCAACAAGGTCCTGACCCGGCTTTTAAGATCCTCCCGTGGTCTTCTTCTGTATCTCTACATCAGGCCCAGGCCCACAGTTCCACTTACCTGACTACCCACTGACGTTCTGCCTGGAGGCTACTGAGGACTTGAAGATTAAAAAAACTGTTTAAATCAGAAGCATGTTTTATTTTGAGGCAAGGTTTCACAGTGTGATTTGGGCCAGGCTGGCCTGGGATTCCTGCATTTCCCATCCTACCGGGATGACCATCCTTTAGCCTTGCCATGTCCCCGCCCCCAGCACTTATGGTGGCCATGTTTCCTAGCTGTCTAGCTTTCCCCCTGCTCACCCCAACTCTTTCAGGGCAGGGGTCATGTCTCCTAGGCAAGCACAGATCTCCTAGGCAAGCACATAATGGGAAAAGTTTAGAAATCAATTAACTAGCTTGTAACCACTTCCATCTATGGTAAAGTGTTTCTCCGAAGAGAAAGGAGATGTGTTTGGAGTTTGAATCTCTGTGTATGAGTGTGTCGTTGCTGGGTGACAGCGAGTGTCTTTCATTATTGCTTTCTCACCTTATGTCTGAGACCTCAGGGGTTGTCGCTAAAGTTGGAGCTCACCTAACTTTCTGGCAGTGAGCCCGAGGGACCCTTCTGTACCCTGATGAGATTTACATGTGAAGGCACCACACCTATCTTCTATGTGTGTTGGGCATCTGAACTCAGGTCCTCACACTTGCATAGCAAGGACTTCATGGAATAAACCATCTCCAGCCCTGAGTTTGATTCTTCTAACGAATGCTACACATGTAACTTCTCCATGACCCATTCAACGTATTCTGCAGGATATTGCCACTTGAGTGAGTGATACTGAAAGATTATGTTCAAACACTCAGTAAATGGAAAGTTCTGTCTACCCCTTTGCCTTGCAACACTGCTTATTCAGATAAAATAAAGCTTAGATTTAATAATAGGCAAGAGAAGATTCTCCACTCAGATACTGAATAACTCAGTTCAAATGCTCCTTTGGGATTTTATATGTAGGAAACAGCCTTTTTGCTGTAATCTATGGAAAGCCAACTATGCTGGGCATTGTGGCACGTGCCTACGTGCCTACGATCCCATTACTACAGAGAGCTGAGGTAGAGGGCACACAGAGGTCCTTGAGGTCACAGGTCACAGAGAAACCAGGAATGTTAATCACACAGGATTGTCTTTCCGCTGGGAAAGATGAAAAACCTGTTCTTCCACCCAGAAAGATGCAAACCGGAAGTGGTTTATAGCCTGGTCAGCTGCCTTATCTGTTAGGCCAGATACCATCAGGACTGGAAGTGGCTGGTTACCTAAAGGACTCTTCTAGTCACAGGCTCCCTCAAGCTCCCAAAATCAGGACCAGAGGTGGCTAACAGTCCAGATAACCTCTGTGCTATCTATCTGACCTAGACCAGGCCAGACCCTTAGGCTATTTGGCCAGTACAGTCAGCCTATCTCTAGAACTCTGACCCAGGTCAACTAAGTCAGTCTGCACTAGTTTTCATTCTAATGTCTTTGAGTGATTAGCTTTCCTTAAACTCCAGCACTCTGGAGGCAGAGGAAGGCAGAAATCCGTGAGTTCAAGACCAGCCTGAGCTACAGAGTTCTGTTCCAGAACAGTTAGAGTGAAGGGCCCAGACCCTAAATCATCCCCACCCCCGCCCCCTTTGGCAGCTAGGACAGGCTGCAGAAAAGACCCAGCAAGATGGAGGCCCCTGACTCAGCAGAATGTGCTGAGTCCCCGACCCTGCTCTAACTACTGGGTGGACCAGAAGTTAGCTGAGGGCTCTGGAGATGCATCACTGATAATAGTGGGCTGCACTGGCCGCCCTGCCCCCCATGTCCTTTCCACAGCTGACCAATGAGCTCAGGGCAGGTTCCCTCATCCCGGAGATGTGCCATTCCTGAGACTGTTACTATGCAGCTAGCAGACCCCTCGACACCTCCCTTGCTCTATTCCCAACATATCCCCTTCCCCACTGCAGCTTGGGGTCCTCCTACTCAGCCCCTTATGTCAGATGGACGGAGTTAACTTGTAATTAAAAAGACTCTCTGCTTTGACATTGGGTCTGGTCTCTTGGTTTCTGGGATCTAGACTCTGGGCACAACAGCGAGACCTTGTCTCAATAAAGAAACAAAACCAACCAACCAAACAAACACCTTTTTCAGAAAATTAAAAAAAAAAAGCCGAGTAAACAATAGTCTTAAACTGATTTGGTGAGGTGTAGAGAGCTAAGCCTGAGAAATTAATAGTAAATATATTTATATCTGAAAGAGGACACTTGATGGCAAGCAGCAGACAGGATACATCTTTGTTCAACAAATACACAGTCCATACACACACACACACACACACACACACTCACGCACTACAGACAGTGAATATTTGTGCCTTTAAAAAATATCCCGATTCAGTCATCAGGTTTGAACTGCTTCTCTTGTTTGACCTAAGATTTATCTACACTGTATTAATAGGTTGTAAGAATTCCTTCAAGGCCTCTAGTCGAATAAGGTCCTTCTACTATGTTCGAATCTAGGTAAAAAGTACATTTGTGCTCATCTATTGTGTGGGTTTCAATTTAAAAGTAAACGTTTATGGCTGGAGAGATGGCTCACTGGTTAGCACTGGCGGCTTCTCCAGAGGACTGGAGTTCAATTCCCAGCACCCACGTGGAGGTTCACTACAGCTAGAACTCCAGTTCCAGGGGATCTGATGCTCTCTTTGGAGTGTGGTGGGCACTTGCATGGAGTGAAACATGCAAGCCAAACACATAGAATAAAATTAAATAATCTTAATAAAACCTCAGTTCTATTAAGAAGCATGTGAGCTATGTATCAATAGCTTTATATCATGTATAACAGAAATAACCAGAAAGTATCCTATTATCCCAAGGAAGCAAATGACTAAGAAAATATACATAACTGAGTCTAAAATCAAGAGAATTCAAATCATATTTACCAAAGATAAATAACAAAACAGTGTGAAATAGGAAAAAAGTTGAATTTGTAATTTCAGCAAGGGAAATGTGATGGATATTTACAAAATCCAAGATGCATTTGGCCAGTTTTGCATTGCTCTCTTCTGGGTGAGGTTGTCTATATTGACCAGAGAAGAAAGTAAATCTAGAGTAAATCCTGCTTGCTGAGGACACTCTCCCACAGCAGAGGGCAAAATGTCCAGGAAAAGTTTCTTTTCATTCTTCCCTCCCTCCCTCCCTCCCTCCCTCCTACCCTCCCACCTTCCTTCCTTTCTTCCCTGCCTCCCTTCCCTTCTTCCTTCTTTTTATGTTTTGGTTTTTCAAGACAGGATTTCTCTGTGTAGATCAGAGTGGCTGATTCATGTCACATTCAGAAAGTCCCAGCCATCTTTCACAAGCACCATCTAGGTGTCTTAAACAAAAATTAAAATTTTTGTTTTAAAATTAAAAAATTTCTATGAATCACATCTGCTTCCTCCACTGAGAATATAGAGTTTCTAAATTAAAGCAAAATAAGTGATAAACATGAGAATTCCAAGAATATCATTCATTGTTACTTAGCAGGTGTGTCCCTTAAGTGGACACCTTCGGTCATAGAACCTCATTTTCTCATAACTTTAAGCCACAGAGTTAAAATATGCATGCATAGAACTCCGCAAAACTATGGCAATGTCTGGTTTAAAGGCAACCCGAGGAAACAGTAGTTAACAGTTCCAATCAGCGTGTAAGGAAGCCAACGAAAAGGGAACTGAGTTAGATCAAAGTGACTTCTTAAGAAGTTCTTAATACACCTCTCAGATAAACAACGTCTCCTCTTACTGCTTACAACAAAATTGGACAAAACAACAAACAGAGCACAAAACCAACGACCGGGACAAGGTATGCTTTTCCTGCGTGGAGCGCGTCCCGGGAGCGCCACAGACCAGAGGCTCCATTCAGTGAACTTTTGAACGGGAGCTGAGTGTTGGGGACGTGCGCTGGAGGCGACCTACCTTTCACAGATTTCCCGATGCTGTGCAAGTGCGTGATCGAACTGTAGTTCTGGGCAACGCTCTTTAGGAACGCCTCCATCTCTTCCTGGTGGTGGTATCGGAAATCCAGGGCGGTCACGACCGGCAGAAGAAGCCCCAGCCACAGGACCGCGAGGTCCATGTCCTAGAGATGGGGGAGAGAAGAAAAGAGGTGCTGAGGATCCCCCAGGGAAGCGCGGGCACCTTTCCTCCCGGCCCTCGGGGAACACCTGAGCTTCACGCTCCTTCTTCCGAGATACGAGGTGAAGGTGGCCCCTGGGACCCCTCAGCCCGCCCGGGTCCCGGCAGCAGCACCCTTCCGCGTGCCCGGTCTCACCACTGCCAGGCGCGCGTCTCCGCCCGCCGGCTGCCGCCGGGAGCTTGGGGAAATTATAGCCCGGCCAGAGGGGCGTTCCCCGGGACGACACGCCCACAGACACGCCCACGCTGCGCCTTGCCCTCCCCTTGGGGCGGATCTCCACCCTCGCTCCAGGGACTGCGAGCCCCGCGGGGTTGTGAGAAGCGGGTGGGAGGTGGAGCGCGACCCGTCGGCGCTTGGGTTGGACGTGCGGCCTGTCCTGGGCCACCGTGGCCCCGAGACGCTGCACAGAAGCCGCCCACGGCCTCCACTGTGGCGGTCGCGCTGGACACGGTGCCCACGGTGGGCGGTGGGCGGTGCGGGTCACCTGGAGTCCAAGGAGGGCCAGGCTTCCAGCCCTGTGCTGAAACTGGGGAAGCCGGGGGTGGGGATGGAGTGTGTGTGTGTGTGTGTGTGTGTGTGTGTGTGTGTGTGTGCGTGCGCGCGCGCTTCAAGTGCCAAGTTGTGAGGTACGGGAACGTGTCCAACAAAAGTAGATAGTAGATGAGATCTGACTAAATCAGGGTAAAGTTTGTGACAAACTCGCAGGACAAAAGCGGAGCCGCTGTCGGCACTCGGATTCCTCAGGGCAGTTCTGGCGCTTCTTCCTAAAAAGCTGCTTTCTGGGAGGATGAGGTGGGTTGTGTTTGCACCAAACAGAACACAAATCATAACTGATGAGATGTGGATCGTGACACAGACCATGCCGCTGAACACAGATCGTATCGGATGATGGTTCGTGAGCTATCGTGCTCTGATACATACCCCACATACACTGTCCCGCTGTCCGGTGGATTTGCAGAAACCTGTTAGAGAAATATCGACGCCTGCAAGGGTCTGTTGAAAACAAACTTCAAAAGCTACTGATTTGTTATAGAACTCGTGAACAGATTTTTAAAATAGTGACGAGAGGGCCCATCCCAAAGTGATGAGGTGAAATTTCCTTCCCGGAGCACAAAAGGGCCCTTGAGAGTGGGAGAGATGGCTCAAAGGGTAAAGAGTCTCAAAATCCGTGTAAAGGTAGGAGAGACCAGACTCCACAAACTTGTCCTCTGACCTCCACAGGTGTCCTCTGACCTCTGGCCGCACCGAGTTCCTCCTTGCAGGCCTCCGGTGCACAAACGTAACAAAAGAACAAATGGTTTTAAAGCAGTGATTCTCAACACGGGATCAGGACCCCATGGGGTTGCATATCAGATAGTTGGCTTATCAGTTATTTACACAACGATTCGTAACAGTAGCAAAATTACGGTAACGAAGTAGCAACAAAAATTTTACAGCTGGGGCTCAGCACAACGTGAGGAACTGTATTAAAGGGTGGCAGCGTCGGGAAGGCTGAGTCCCCTGCTGTAAGGGCTCTGTGGCTGGAGACTTGGAAGGTGGTGGCTTCATCAGCACCGATGTGGACTGCTCTCCTGATTCCAGGAAAATGAAGGAAGGGATGAGGAAAAGTTGCAACCACTGCCCTGGAAGTTCACACTAGATAAGAAGAACCAGAGGGTGGGAATCAGAGGCCTGGAGTCCGGAAGATTTAGCACTTAGTCCCCAAGTGTGGTCTAAAGACATTGATGTCACCTAGAGCATACTGAAAATTCCGGCTCTCTCGTCCCATTTCAGAGAACTGTCCTGCAATCAGGTTTGAGATACTCTGTTCTAGAGGAGGAGAGAGAGGGAAAGAAAAAGAGAAGGTTCAGTGTGAGAATTTAAAAGCTGGGCAAGAATAAAAGTTTAAGCTAATAGAGAAAAAAACCCTCAAGTTTATGGTTTTGGAGGTGATCTTCCTTTTCATGAAATGATTAAAGGAAAACCATGGTCTAAGGACCGATGGCAGTACAAAACCACATGGTTTCTGTATGGGTAAACCGGGCATAAAGCTTACCAAAAACAAACAAACAAAAACCAAACTGGATGTTATGGTTTGCATTGGAACCGTGTGTTGAAGGCTGGATTATGTTTGGATCGTGAAGGCTGACTTCATCAGCGGATCGATCCACTGGTGTGTGCAGAATTGATGGCATTATTTCAAGATGATGAAAACTGACAGGGCCTGGCTGGAGGAAGCAGGTCACTGGGGGCAAGCCTTTCGAGGATATGCCTTGTTTCTAGCCTTTTCTGCTCACTCTGCTTCCTGCTTCTAAAGAGCTGAGTGGTTTATTACATGCTCCCCTTGTGACCTGCCTCACAACAGCCAAGAGTGTATGCACTGAAACCTCTGAAACTTTGAACCCAAATAAATCTTTCTTCATTGTAAGTTGTTTTCCTCAGGTTTTGTCATAGCAACAAAGGCTGATTGACGAGCCAGAAGACAGAATTAACAGCTCTTACGAAATCAAGAATGGGCAAGAACAATACTAGGCCGGCCCTAAAGCAGCCTTCTAAATAGCCAATAAACATAGCAAGTACTACCAACCTGGCCAGCAATCAAAGAGTTACATATTTAAAGGGAAAGGTAGTGTTTTGTTTTGCTAATTGCTAGGCATGAGTTTGAAAAGGCCGGCAAAGCCAGGAGAAGGTATTTATGTTCTTTCAATTGCCTTTTAAACAGTCACCCTTGCTTGGGGGGCTGCTTGTGAAAAGAAAACAATGTTTCCAGCCTGAAGTTTCTTCTTTAAAGGTAATTTAAAAATGTGTTGTGTTTACTGTGAAGGCTAGAGTTTCAAAATGAGTGTTGTTTTCAAATCCTGACAAAGTAAATAAAAACCTAACTGTCTGACATAAGTAAGCTGTCTCCCAGGGTGATTCTCTCTGGGGCAGTATTTCCCAAAGAGACCCTTGGCAATGCCTGGAGGACTTGGGGAAAGTGTTCCTGCCATCTGGCCCTGAGGCAATGGGTGCTCCTGGAGGGCTTGCTGTCAAGACCACAGCAGTGGCTCTCAACCTTACCAACACTGCAATCCTTTAGTACACTTCCTCAAGTTGTGCTGACACCTAAGCAGATAATTATTTTTGTTGCTACTTCATAATTGTAATTTGCCACTGTTATTAATCATAATGCAAATATCTGTGTTTTCCAATGGTCTTAGGCAACTGTGAAAAGGCATTTGACCCCAAAGAAGGTCACGACCCACAGATCGAGAACCTCTGCTCTATAGTGTATCGCACTGCCCGCCTCAGCAAAGATCCAGGCAGAAGTATCAATAGTACTGGAGTTGAGACATCTTACTTACCATCCGATGAAGAATATCATGACCAGTTGATAAACTGTTTTTCAGTCATAATAGTGAGAATATAGTTATGGATTATTTCCTTGGGAAAACAGATCATTTAGTGAAACAAAAAAAGGCAGATGAAAAAGGTAAAAAGTAGGAACTTTGGAGGTACAACAGATAAAACCCATTCCTGGCAAAATTCTGGACACTTTTCAAACAGGCTGACTGGTAATCCCTGAGCCGCAGTGTTTTAACTTTCCTTTCTTTAAAAAGAAACCAAAACCATTTATTTGTTAATGGGTGTGTGTGTGTGTGTGTGTGTGTGTGTATGTACACATCGTAATGCCAGTGGAGACCAAAGGCCAGGCAACTGGCAAGGAATCTTTGTGATTTTTCCACCACATACAGCCTAGGATTGAACTGAGGTCAACACCGGGCTTGGCAGTACCTCCATCAGCTGAGCCACCACATTGCCTTTTTTTTAAAATGATGTTTTTTTGAACAACTTTCTTCCCTTACTTCTTTTAATTGAAAAGAGTGGCATTTTTATATAAAATCAAACCTGAGTAGAAAGCACAGAGACATTGAAGATGAACAGTTCTGAAGGAAGATGATATCTAAATGTCACTGCAGTGAGTCACAGGACCGGAAAGGAAGTAAAAGGTCATTTGAAAAGTGGGATAGTAAAGAACTGAAAAGCTAAGGTGCTGGAGAATGTCAGGAGCCATTTTCCCAAAGATTATAGCAGGAACCATTGTCCTGGGGATGTTTGCAGAGAGCCCCACACCCCAACTGTATTGAGAACTGTTTGTTGGTGAAGCCCACCCCCGCACCCAACTATCTTGAGAGCTACCTAATGTTAGGGGAACCCACCCCACATTCCAACTATCTAGAGAATTGTTTGTGGTTGGAATCACAAAAGGAACGATTCTGCTCGCATAGAGAACACTAGGTGTGTCGACTCTGACCATTGCTGCCCCCCATTGCTGCCCTGGCAAGATTCTTTTCTGCCCTTGCCATGCCCCTGCCCCCATCCCAAGCCAAATTCCTCATTCAAGGGCTATATAAGCCACAACCATTTCACTAATAAAGTGAGACCTTGACAAATTGAGAACAGAACCTTGTCTGGCTCTTGCTTGGTCTCCATTTCTCCCTCCCGCCCATGTCTTTTTCAGATAGCGCCTCTTCGGGGGACCCTGGAATAACTGACCCGCTGGGCGGGTTACAGGAGAATTCATGCTGAGGACATTGAGGCCCCCGGAACAGTAGCAGCAATTGAAGCAGAGAGAACTACAGCTAGGGGCTGATCACTCCAGCAGACGCGAACAAGAATGGACAGAACAGTGTGACCATACTTTTGTGGGTGTCTCCCTCCCTCCCTCCCTCCCTCCCTCCCTCCCTCCCTCCTTCCGTTCCTCCCTCCCCAATCCTGCATTTTACATTCAGTTAATTATGTTTGTGTGTGTGTGTGTGTGTGTGTGTGTGTGCACCGCAGAGTCCGGAGAACAGCTCGCAGGCGTTGGCTCTCGCCTTTCATTGTGTGGGGCCTGGGGATCAAGCTCAGGTCAATAGATTTGGTGGCAAGCCCCTTTAATTACTGAGCCACCTCCATAATCTTTTCAACTTTTTGAAAGTTCACAAGAAAATATGACTATAAGTAAATAGGGCTGCTTAAAAGTTTTTATCTGCCTTGAAGCAACCATTGTAGAACACTCAGGATAGTGCTGAGCTATCAAGGTGCACACTTACGGCTAGGATTTCACCATCAGACACAGCAAACTCCCCAACCACGTCTCTGTTTCCTTAGGATAAATTCCTA